CATTTGAAATAAGCAACTTTTTGAGGTTTAAAAACATGCAAGTTTAGAGGCTAATTGCGCGGTTTAGAAGTATTTCCTTATAATTTAAAACATATTTGCACGTAGATCATGATGTTCTGTTAGAATCGCTGAAAACTGTTTTCCAAAATTCGCAGCGGGTAGTGTACAGCATCGATTTCTGTGGAACCCAGTAGCTGTCAAAACTCTCACATTTTTACGAATAACTCGGAAATCGTAAATTTTCCAGGTAAAACGGTTGAAACAAACATAAATTAAAATTGAACGGCCAATCTGAAAATAACAAAAAAAAGGGGGGGTTTCGTTTAAAAAACCAGAGTTGGTAACTACCACACGTTTATGATGCACCCCGTATATTGGAAAGTAATTTTAGAATGTGGACCTTTTAAACGTGAAAAACTTTCGTTGGACGAATTTTCTTGTAAACTTCATATTTACTGAGATATCGCACTTTGAGGCACTAATGAGCAACCCTGTATATATGTTACATATATTTAAATACGTGATAATTTAAAAAGTGTTGATTGCTTATCTTTTTAGGATATTTCAGGAACCAAGTCGGGTACCTAAATCTTGAAAACGGTAATGAATAGTCAATCAAATCCTGCCCAATTTTGCCTATTTAACGGATTATCTATCTTTAAAAATGTAGAAGTTACCCATACAAAGATTTAAAAAATGGCCACCCTGCATATTATTATAATTCGTATAGGCATCAATTCAAAACTTGCAAGTGGAACGTTTAATGTGCTGAGGACATTGTGACTGAAACGAAATAATTTTGAATCCAAATTCATAAACCTTCCTATCCGGTCCTAATGATATTAGTGTAAACAATTTTCTTCATGAAAAGTGAAATGTTGAACCCAAACACTTCTAATTAATAATAAATAGTATGCACAAACGTCACTTTACATAAATAATTTGTAAGTTTCCATGGCCTGCAATAACGTTAAATAAAATGTCGGTGAATGCCGCGCTACATTGCGTCTTATTTATTTAAATATCTCAGAAACAAGATAAAATGTCGAACAAGTCCAAGATAAAGAAATGTTTCAAATTGAAACAGTGACAGACCTGTACAGGTGTGTTATTGAAAAAAACACAAAAAAAGGTGTGCACATAAAATCCACTTCTAAGGAAGATGGATTATCAACCTTTAGTAGAATATGTAAGATCATTAGAAAAACCAGGAAAACAAATCTCATTTCATCTGCGGCTATCTCCAAAACTATACGATTTAACGAAAAAATTCATATCATGTAGGAACATTAATCTAACATGTTCTATAAGTCATTATTACTGCACTTAGCAAGAATATACCTAAATCACCCTTTATAATGATCATGATTTGACACTGTTTTAAATGTCATAATAACCTATATTACCGCACTAGTGCTTTTTTCAATTTCAACGAGTACTAACAATAATAATAAACAAACACTTAAACAATTTAACGATAATCCCAAATCTTCTGTTGCTTTAGGCAGCATAAACGTATTACCCGTATTACATATTCAATTTTTAAACTAATTGTTGTTGCCCAAATATTCATTAAAATAATAATTGTTTTAGTTCTAGATAAAATGTTGTACGTAACACGCAGGACATTATTTTGAAAATTTTGAAAAATGGTATCGAAAAAAAATTCCCGCCCGTCAAAGGGAGGAGTGGATACACAAATATCCACAATAGACAAATCATCGAGCTGAATACAAATATCATTAGAATTTTAAGATAAGCACTGATAACGTTTTATATAAACTTGCAAAACACACTTTTTCGAAAAGTTCTGCCAACAATGGTGGGCAAAAAACAATGATGGAATTTTGCGGGATTCGAGAATTATGTCTACATCAGTTAAACAGTGTACAAATAAACTGCTCAATTTCAAAAACGTGAACATGAATCATTAACGTTTTAAACTATTAATACAACCACCTTGGTATTAAACTTCTTTTCTAGATTTACAATGCCAAAATAACTTATCGAAGCCGATTGTCTTGTCCAACATCTCCATAAATCCCTCCTAATAATATGCTAAATGAGTTTCATCAATATTGTAAGTTTGTCTACTTATGTCATCTCACGAAATTATTATGCCGTGAACCACTGGACAGTGAGTCAACAGATATTTGAATTCCAGCCTTGTTACAGTAGTTAACCCCACACTTTATTGATCAAATTTGAAAGGATTATCGGATTTACAGGGTACGAAGAAAAATAATCCATTAAATTACGTTAGGGACAAGAAGTATTACTGGAAGCGATCAGCAATTTTATCATTTCGTTTACTATTTTTGAATTTTAAATCTGCGAAAAATTAAATGTGAGCTTGAGCACATTGCTATTTTTATTATCGTTTAAAATGTTTTCAGCCATACAATTAACTATAATTGTTCCTAACCATAACATTGATTTTTCAATTTGAGCCACAATGACTAATGTTTAAAAAGTGAAATTTGGTCTATTCGATACCTTCTTAACCAGTTCCACTTTCCGCACATCTTTTGTAATTCAGAAATTCAGAATTGTTAGGTATTAGCTTGTTTGTCCAGACATCTAGAGGTCGCTAGCTGGAGATCGCTCAAAAAGTGTTAAACAATATTTAACACATAAAAACCTTATTGTGGTTGAAAATACCGAATTTCTTTCAGTCACGTCTCATATTCTATTTTTTTCTACACTGCAAGCACTCTTTATAAAAGTCAGTTGCACAATATTTCAATTTGAAAATTTCAGTGTTACTTTTAAATTGTTATATAACCTACATTTATATACGAAAAAATCGTTTCTCGAATTTCTTTCGGCCATAATACTATGATCATTTGTACTTGTTGTAGAGTACCACCCATTCGCATATCTTTGAAACTTGAACCCAAATAGTGTCATTTAGATAAGCCGTAGGTGCAAACATTAAGCCGACAGAGTTTGGATAGAACTTTTTGAGCCGCGTCTATAATTGTGAAGTTAGTTCCAGCAGAAGGAAATTTGGCCCGTTGAGACTTATGAATGACTCATTAATAGAGCAAGGAAAAATATTGCAGGGTCTTCCTTCCATCTTTTAACGACCGTCTAATCAATACTCGATAATAATTATAGTTACAGAGTTCATGTTTCGAGGCGATAAGTCCTTGGTGGTGGGAAAAAAATTCTTAACCCGAAACGCAATCCTTCTACTCTAAATAAATGAAAACTTTTATGTCCATGGCAAAACTTTTTTATAAATAATATTTTTTTTCGCATTGTCATGACTATTATTAATTTTAAAAATTGGTGTATCTGAAGAAATTATATGTATAACTCAATTAGCAAAAAATAAAACTGTAAAGTAATCTCCCTTTTAGCGACTCTTTATACCTATCACGTAGTTGGAAGATTCCATCACCAGGTATGAAATAAAACTAACCCTGTATGTATAGAATAATAAATATGGCCCTCTAGCATATTTCGCAAAGATTTCTGAAAGCAGTAGTAATCTTTCCTGCAATGCACATTATTAATTATGCTTTTAAGAGTCATAGAAAACTCAAAACTTCAAAGACAGACGTAATAAAATAATCCAAATTTAATAAGATGCCTCTCCTAGAGTGTGACAGGTGTAGGCATATACATAGCTCAGATGGTAAAAAACAGGGTAAAAAACGCTTTAGATACAAATTTTATAAATCAGGAAATGTATTTGGAGTCGATACACTGTTTAGCATTTCATAAAAGCTATAATTTTAATTAACAATTTAATTCAGATAAATAGTCATATTATTGATATTAATATTAAGACATGAGTTTGAGATGTCGCTTGAACTCCACTCACTTTTATAAATGGTAGTATCGACTTCATGTCTTATATTCGTCCAGATACCCTACAAGTAATGCATAATTTTCAATAAAATCCTGTGCCACTCAATTGTATTCCTTTTTGCAGATGCCAGAAGCCTACAAGAAGCATCTACTGACAGAAACTCGACAGAACAATTACCGCCGAGAAATAATGGGCCAACTGCAGCCCTTAATAAAACCCAAGCTTCCCTTAATCTGGCGTCTAATGAAAGGACATTCAATGACACATCTGGTTTAGTGGAAAGCAACAAAGGCGAAAATGGGATGCCGCCTCTAACTGAAGTTAATATGACAGAGAATATTTCACAATGGAACGAGTCCTCGGTGAGTTAAATTTGTAGATATTCTTAAGAGAAAATAGTTAGTTTTGGATGCATTCAGTGCCCAGAAGGGAAGTTCTGGGTGCCAAAAAAAAGTACGTTTTTATTAGGGGATCATGTTGAATTTATCGACGACTTTACATATCTAGGAGCGAACAAGGAGAAGTACTATCTAAAATCGGGAATTAGTCTTAATTTGACCAAAAGATGTAGTAGATGAAAATCAGATCATCTGTTTAACCGATTTTAAAAATATAATCCATCAAATGAATGTAACGAATTGAGCCAGGAATTAATTACATTCTTTTGAAATGTAATAAAGTATAACTGACACATTTCCAATTTCAAGGAAAGTAGCAATACCAAAAAAATATATTTTGTTGTCTTTTTCTCCCACCATTTATTACGCAAATCTTGTTTTCCCGACAGCTACATGACTCAGATAAACACATTTGACAAACTGCTCAAAACAACAAATTCATAACTGCACATTATCGAAGGGGCTTTGTGTAGAAAGTGCTTGTTGAAAACAAGTTATAGGTTGCCTTTTCTTCGGAAATGGCGACTTGATTGTGTTATCTTTACAAAGTTCGGAGTTTTGCATAGCAGTAATACCCAATCCAAAAATATCTTTAAAATTTGTACATTTTAACAAGCAACAACAAATAAGCAAATAAAATGTTTATAATAAATTGATTCGGATTTCTCAGTTAAGTTCGAATCAAGAAATTAAATAACTAACTAAATTCTTATAACTTACTAGTCAATCACTCTAGATCAAACATTTATTTTTTTCAAAAACTAATATCAAATGTAATATGGAAATTTAATTTTATGTGAAATAAACTGTAATTTGAAACTGACAGACTGTATCTTAAAAATACCGAAAAATTGGTTCAAAATAAAAGCCAGAGATGTAAGAAATAGATGAATATCACACACTATGGCTATTATTAAATCCTGACTGAAACGAATGAGAAATTATAATAGATAATTCTACATTTACAGTTAACCACGATTTGAGCCGACGGTAAGAAAATCTTATCGATCTCAAGATTAGCGCGCAACCATTATCACTTGGGATCCTTCTCTTCATTACAGTTTGTTTCAAGTTGCAACATGTACCATTAAGTTAATTGAAAACTAGGAAAAACATCACCAATTTATTCCTAAATGGCCAGAATTTAAAATAAAAAAAATAGCTCTGACATCTGACATTATGAAAACAAAGAAACTACAATAATTGGGAGATAAGTTTAAACATGTTTTCGACTATTATTCACTATGCAGTATTTTTGAATTATAACAACTTGTGTTCTTGTAGGAGTTCTTTTGAGAAACAAAGCCTGCATAAAGAAACTTTTGTTAACACTTCAATGTTATATGTGTATTGTTCAATGCAAAATATAGCCTTGAACTTTTACGAACAAATGCGTACCAATCATTAAGGCAAAGTTCGAGACACGAATTCGAGCATTCGAAAAGTTTTCGAAGCTGTCGCAAGCAAAGGACAATTTCCTAACTCCTTCGAGAACACATATTTAGAGAAAAGGAGTGGAAACGATGGAAACACATAGACGACAACAATTTAGATAAAAAGACGTTGAAATCAGCAAAATTTTCTCCGAATTTGTCAGTCCGATTGGTACAAATTACGGTTTTTTTTTTCGAAAATCATAGATTTTGAAAATCCCTGAAAATCATCAATTAAGATACTTGATTATTGATACTGCAGTTGCTTTATCTAGACCTCCTTTTGGAAAAATAACATCACATCAATAAATATGTTTACGTGGATAGATTCTGAATGAAAGTTTGTATAAAAATGTCAACACAAAATTTACGTAACTTTGGGGCGAAATGCATGCGAAATAAAATAAAGCTTAAAACCAATTTTGTAAGATATCTAATTTTAATTACTAAGTAATCAATTCAATCAATAAGTGTTGTGTAGTTCGATATTTAAAAAAATATGTTTTATAGAACCGTATCTCTAAATTTTCATATCATTGAAAAATCACAGGAAACGCTATATTTGATCGACGAGTATCTTCCAAAATCGCAGCAACAAAATTCTATCTTGATGATAAACCAAACGAGATTTTCTAGTTGATTTTTCCGTTTCTAGCAACATTTGATTAAAACATATTAATTATAGTGTCTGTGATATGAAATATTCGAAGCAAATAAAATATTTTTTTGACCATGTATATTAGAATAAATATGAGATACGTTTTCAAAAAGAGGAAAAAAATTGCTTTGTTCAAATGTCACAACTCACAATTCAATACTACCCCGCAGACGATAAACCCGTCTTGCAAATTTAAGCTTGCAGGTCGGACGGTTTCGTGGGTGAGTTCACAATGTTTGTTTAAAATGTTTAAATGTCTTATTTAAATGAAAGCGTGTTAAAATAAATTAGTTTCGATGTCATAACGAATTTCATGCCCATTCTGAAAGAAATTAAAAAAAAACAAAAAAGCTTAATTACTAGATAAAAAATACGAACGGAGAGGTCATGCCATGTTAAACTTACACATCACAGATTATCGAAATATTGGCTCCTTAACAAAGATCTATAAAACAATTTTTAAATATTTTCCAAGTAGTACGACTGGGTTTGCGTTGCAAAAAATTGCGTTGAAAATCATCAAATTAATACGTTTAAATATCATCATCATTTCTTTAAAGATGGCTATCACAAGCCGAAGAATACAGATTTCTCGGATCATGAAGTTGCATAAGCAACGGGTTAAACAGGCTGCTCAGCTCAGGAATTACGTTCCACTGGAAGTGATGTCTAACGGTATACAGGGAGACAAAATCGTGCATCAAAGCGCTCTAACTAAAATGAGATCTTTGGAAAAAGCTATATCATATGTTTTGCAACAAGATTTCAGTTGTAAATATATAATATGATTGTTCTTATATTACCTGCGTAAAGCAACAGAGGTAACAAACGAAGACGTAAACAAGGAAAAAATTGTCTTGAGGCTATAAATAATTAATCATCATCAATTCCTAATGTCCTTTTTCAATTGAGTTTCCAATGCAATGATATAAATATGTCTATTCAGTTATAAGCGACACTCATCACGTGAGTTGTATATCCATTATTAATACCCAAACTACGCATAACATCGCAGCCACTTCATGACAAACTTTTGTCGGTTCATAACATCAAAGGATGACACTGAAAAAAAGTTGGGACAGGTGATAGTAACGGCGCAGCGTACATTTGAGTAAACCGTCCCTCGAACCTCTTGTATCAAAATTTTAAACAGAAATGTGCCGAATATGGGGAAGAACGGGAAAGCGATACCGAAATCGAAACAGAAAAAAAGATAGGATGTGATTTACACGTCCTCGCTGGTATCATTTGTGAACGTTTCGAATCTAGATTTTATTTGTAAAATATGTAGTGATGACTGATTAGCTAGTTCCTTACGGCCTATTGGATTTTTATTTTTGCTCCCCAATAATTGGTTCCAAATGATATCGGCAATTAACAAAGTCAATAACATGGTTTTATATTTTGTTTCCTTTTGTCGTGTTGAGAGTCTAATTTATATTTTTGTTTTTTTATAATTTTTCTTTTGAAACGGTTCACTTTCTGTTACGTAAAACCAAACTGTTACCAAAGAATGCAGATCGTAGTAGGTCGTTTCTAAATAATTTTGATGTTTGTCAGTGTTTATTTATTTATGTGTTGATGTTAGTGTGACCAACCATAAATAATTATTAGCAAAAAAGTTAGTACGTTAGCTAACATATTTTCTAACACATTTGAATGTTTGATTTGATTCTGATATTTATCAGTGCTGGTCATTTATTTGTTTCTCTTAGGATAAGACTCGCTTTGTCTTCAATTTTTTTTAAACATCCCATTTTCTCTGCACAATATAATAACGTTAGTAGTAACAGATAATAGTAACAGTTTAGTAAATTTCGAATTTTTTTTCGAGAAGACATAGAGAGGGCCACTGGCCCTTATACAGGGTGATTCAAAATTGGCGTCATTAATTTCAAGGGGTGATAGAGGCTCACTTGGGGAGTACAAGAAAAATATTGAAAATTTTTTTTTCGAAAATTTCTTGAAGATATTAACAGTTGAAGATCGAATTTCAATTTTGTTATTAAGCATTATTTTGAAATTGTTCCATGTTTAATTGGTAGCATATTGGAATACTTATGCATTAAAAAAGGAAAATTACGATCTTTGCTTCAAACTACGAAAATTTTTGATATTAAAAAGGTTCTGTTCTACAATTTTTTGATGAAAAGTGACAGCGGCAATGATGTTTTCTGTCATTAACAGATAGTTACAGGTGGATAGCCGTTGTCAATAATAACAATAGTTTGTCAAACTGTGACTTACTTTGAATTTCCTTTCACGAATTTGCTGATATGCGATTAGTTTACGGGAATCCCTACAGTAACATAGCAGAAGCTGAAAGAATTCACGCCAACAAAGAGCGAGGGGAGTGGTTCCAGGAAGATAGTGGACAACAATCGATGTTCGGATTCCAGACACAGAGGAACAGGTATTGAACATAATAGAATCAGGGCCCTCCAGGGGTACTCAGAGCACAATAACTGACACTTTCCCAAGCACCAAATAAATACCGAGGAACGGCTACATTCCTACCACGTTTGTACGATACACACAGCACAAGAAGATACAAATGGAGCAGGAGTTAATTAACTGAATACGAGAAGCTGCTTGATAAGAGTGGATAATAAGGAGATTACACAGGCATTAGCTTGTTTTATAAACACCAAACCATCGCCAAACCCCGCAGAATTCGAGGTTATGAGAACAGGTTGACATTTCGAAAGTACGTTCCGCAGTCAACGAATCTTGTTGAATTTACCGTTTATCGTTGTTTATCTTATTGTCACTCTGTATAATTCCATGGTTACCACGGTTTTAAATAATTACGAAGCAACAGGTGTTTGCGCAATGTTAATTAGGCAGATTACCTTGAAAAACATTGCTGCCGTATTTCTGATAATTTTTTTTGCAAATTTCTCAGTTTTTAATAACAATTAATTTTTTTACTATTTTTTCTGTTCTCCTAGAATAGCGCAAGACAACACCTCCAGAGAAATGACACCAATTTTGAATCACCCTGTATATTATCTGGCCAACCACTGGCAAACATTGTTGGACGACTAGCGAAACGAAAGTTTTTTTTTATTTAAAAATCAATAACAATTTGCAATCGCATTGTAAAATAACACTTTTGTATTTAAAATGAAGCCTAATCATAAAACTATTCCATGGAATAGGTATTAGATTTGTTACCTCAATACCGGACATTTAGTAAAATAATTAATTTCGGACTTATCAGAACTGTCGGACTACTGGCTAATTTACCCTATATACTTCTAAAATCCATTGAAACATGCTACAGTAACATGGCTGAAGCTGAAAGAAATATAGAATAGTTCCAGGAAGATATTGGACGATAGATGTTCGGGGTCCAGGCCCAGAGGAACAAGTATTCGACATAACCGAATCAGGGCCTTCCAGGGCCACTCAGAGCAAAATAACTGACACGTTCCAAAGCACAAAATAAATGCCGAGGAAAGGATACGTTCCTACCACGTTTGTACGATACACACAGCGCAAGAAGATACATATGGAGCACGAGTTAATTAACGGAATACGAGAAGCTGCTTGATAAGAGTGGATAATAAGGAGATTACACAAGCACTAGGTTGTTTGGAGTTAACCATTCAAATGTTTGTTGTTGTATGGTTTATTAATAAACACCCGTATTCGAGGTTATGAGAACAGGTTGACATTTCGAAAGTACGTTAGGCAGTAAACAAATCTTGTTGAATTTACCGTTTATACCTGTCTATCTTATTGTCAGTCTGTATAATTCCATGGTTATCTGATATAGTTTTTTGCAAATTTCTCAGTTTTTGATAACAATTAATTTATCTTACTAGTTTTTCTGTACTCCAAGACACCCCCAGACAACACCTCCAGATGAATGAGGCCAATTTTGAATCACCCTGTATTGATGGCCTTCTAATGCTAAAAAGCACCACCTTTATACAGCAAAGTTGAAATTGCATGTTTTAAAATGTGGCAAATTTAAAAAATCTGATAGGAAATAAGCCCATTGTTTAAATATTTTTCTGTACGCTCCAGAAAATCTCTAGTCAATCATCAAAATCAATTACGCCAATATCCAATCAACGTGTTTTTAACAGGATTCAACAGTCACGCAGTAAAGCATATACCGCCTTTAATATTGCTTTCTAATTTAAATTGCGATTAAAATTAGCATAACATTTTCAACGACGACCCATTTTTGAAGGGCAAGATACGGATCAAAACTGATTGCTTGAACGCTCTGGTCTATCCCGATTGTAAGATTGGAAAATATTTTTCTTTTTCATGTAAATCCGAGCAACTTTATATTGGTTGGGATCACTAAAATGACTTGTTGAATTGCGGGAGCAGTTGGTAAAATCCAAATATTTCATAGGGATTTGAAATTTAGCAGCTGAAGGCAATACAGTCAAACGCAAAGAAACATGTGATGTTTATGAATGCTCACCAACCAACAAAGCTACATTGTCACATTTGGAATGCTACTACAATTTACTAATTATTTACTTAATAAACTTACTTTTACCTTGTGTTCTCCACAAAAAACTGGTCAATTGTAATAAATAGTAGATGGTAAAACAGACGACCGCGCTTTATTTAAAACGATGCGGAATTCAAAGCAGTATGACAAATAATTCAAATACATTTGCAATCTTTAACTTTTTGTTTTCTCTATCAAAGACTGTTTACTACTGGAATTTAATTTGCCAATTCACCAGCGTCTGACAGCTTACCGGAAATTCGATAGAATAGCAACCGCTTTTGCTGCTGCCGACAATCCGGGCAGGTTGTCGCCATACTGTTTCTCGTTTTCAACATGATTGGTCTATAACTATGTATATGAGATGGCAAAACAAACAAAAATCAGATACGTTTATCGTCTGATCACTCGAGTTATAAATTATGCCTCCGGACGTTAGCATAATGTTAATTGAAAAAATCGCTTTAATGTGATGAAATGTAAATGCCCTAATTTATTAAAGCCGTTAAAAACAGAGATATAATGAACGTGTTTTTTTCACATTTAGGTTAAAACTTCAATGTACAGAAAGGACAACTACCCCTCCACAGGGCAGCATCCAGGACTGCAAATGTTAGGCTTGGGTACCATTTTGTGTGTTGCAATCATCTTGGCGATGCTGGCAAGTCGTTACAACAGGGGGAAAAGAAGTGATGAAGAGAAGTCAGAAAGCACAGACAATATTCCAGTCACCAGCATATCAAGTGTTACCGAATTATGGTGACATTTCATGGGCGAAAAGGAAGGTGAGGAACTGACGCCTCTATATGAAACTTCTATCACATAAGATATCCGATACTGACCGTGTTTGATAATAATATAGTGTGTACCGAATGAACTGAAGTAGACGTGAATGAAGCAGCGGTGATTGTATATTATTGTTCAGTAGATTTCTAATAAAACTTGTGGTATTTTAAATCGAATTGGCTCAATTGAACATTGATCTTAATGATGTCTCAAAACTGAAGTGCCCAACTTAAACTTAAATAAAGCACATTATTTAAATAGTGCAGGTTGGTCATGTTTTTCCTTTGTAATAGTTTAAACCCATTAAATATATGAGCTTTATTTTACACACACCCTAAAAACTTGCAGCATCGTGGAAAGAGAATTAAATATGTAATTAAATAATTAAAAATTGTTAGTTAACACTAACGCTGCAAAAAATTAATTCTTAGCTGTTGTCGCAAACCAATATCTGAAAGCGTAAATCTAATAAACATTTTCTATTGAATGTTGCACAGTTACTCGGCCCGTCCCAGCATTGCTCGCCACCAGAAGACGATCAGTATATCCGCAAGAGTCCGCAATTCTTATATGTCCGAAAATTTTCAAAGTAGTGATAAATTCTCCTAATTTTTGTACCGAACATTGTTTGGCCAATCTCATTAAAACATTTTCGGGCCAGTGCAAACATCAGGTGCTGAAGCGTGACACGGAAAAAAGTCGAGACAAGTGAGATGCTCGTCAAACTAAGGCAAATATGCTAATTAAAACAACTTTATTGTGGCAATATTGGCGCAAATTTGAGAAATCACTTGCAAAACAAAGTCTAGTTTGGTTTTTGATAGCATTGAAAAATTGTGTGGATTAGTGGGTCTCGAAAATATGACCATAAATAATTACTAGAGTGATCTGTTTGTAATATCCGGTATATCGAAAACTACTCGTTTCTTCTGCAAATTACTTTGACACTGATGCTTTTGGGACATATCTCTGATTAGAGTGCACTATAAAGATATGCAAATCAATAAAAAATACCTAACTACTGTTTTGAAGTACCATAATGTAAGTCGAACATAACAAAGCTAAAAGCTAGAGCATAAATTGAAATTATGAAAAATTGAACAAGTGCGAGAAGTAATGAAAAAAAAACAAAATTTAAATGGCAGCAGGGATGGTAAAAAATTATCAGCGGTTATTTTTTGTTAAGAAGTGATTCTTGAGTGAAATGGTTTTCAAATAATGAACAATTAATAAAGTACAGTTTACCACTTGAAAAAACAGTTAATTAAAATTAACGAAGCTTTCACAATTTTTTATCAGCAACCTAGCAATATTAGAAAAATGCACTGATTGTAGTAGAACAATTGTCGTGCACCATTCTATGAGTTTTCTGTGTTCCGAACAAAAGGTGTAAATATTTGGTTAGAACAATGTATTTTCACCGGAAAATCTCAAATATTATAGAAATAAAGAAAATGCTAAAAATAGCTGGCGCACATGTTTTCAATTAATGGCTTTTGACAATTTTGCGCCATATTTTGCATCCATCCCTATTGTGAATAGTTTTCAATCAAGAACCGATTTCGTATTTAATAATAAGTTCACTGATATTTCTTGGGATGCAATCAAACCGTTCGAAAATTTATTTAATTATCATCATCCTAAAATTAATGAAATTGCTGTGAATCGCAGATATTGTGAAAACTTCTCGCCAGTTAAACTGTTAACTAGTTGAGTTGGTAAATTTTCACTGATTTAAGTTTAAATCAAACATAGCCTTGCGTGAAAGAGATACCAATGAGAATACGTAAAGTTTGGTAATTCTTTATAAAAATTGCCATGGCTTCTGGTAACCCATATGCTTCTAGCTTTAGCATTGAAAATAATTGTTTTTCGGTAAAACAAGTGTAACAAATTTTCGATTCTGACGTTGAAAATAGACCGGTGCTACCGAAAAGCAATCAGACAAAAACTCCCTCGGTTTGTATTTTAATTCGATGTATCATACAATTAATGTTATATATTTGTTAAATGATAGTGTAAGTAAGTCTTAAATAAATCAGACGATATCGTTTTTGAAAAATATTGCGAATGGATTAATGGTAGTGAAAATGTTAAGTTAAGGAAATTAATACTGAGTTTAGACGAAAATATCAAGTAATAGTAAATGATAATATTTTCAGTTCTATTAAAAGTAGGAGTGCCACCGTTCAAATAATATGCAGGCCAATCATCTACAAAAACATGTGTATTGTGGCAACTGTAAATTTATTTTATATACTTTTATGTGACTACAAATTCATCAATAATAGGTACGATAGATTAGAACAGGCAATTAAAGTGAAACGTTTGTTTTTGTGCCAACTTGTATAATTGAGCACAACTGTGTTACTAAATGGACCTGAATCCACATATTCGTCTAATATTTTTCCAGAATATAAATGTATTCCAATAGTTCAATGCATCTGATGGACAGAATAAATAAATGTATTTAAATTTTATCATGTGTTTGCGGATTTTTTTCCACATGTTTGAACCAAGCTTCGTAAACGTACGGTAAAATTTTCAAAAACTGATTATCACTGATAAAATCTTACGCAACAACGTAAAATAATGTATGTATAAATAAACTTCCAAAGTCAAAGTATTTGGTCTAATTGATTTTCGGCATAAACTGAATTCAGGGAGCTGTGAGTAGAAATGATCGAACAAGGTAAGTATTCACACCTAATTTTCATATATCATAAGTTGGTTGTCCTTTACAGACATACGATCCACTAGCATTTTCAGATTGCATGAATTACAATTTTGCATGCATGATGCAACAAGCCGTATAAAATCAAACGTTTATAAATATGTTGATATATGCGGACCCAGTTCAAAAAACACATTAAGACGCAACGCAAAACAGCAATTAAAAGTTAACTAAATTCAATATTTCATTTGGGCGAACCTAATTGGAGATGCACAAAGAGTTACACGTTTGAATTGAACAGAGCAATTGGGAACTTGTAAATTATAATGGACCACGTTACTTTATACATATGTTACTGTTTGACAGAATGTACTTTAAAACGTAAAACAATTACAGAGAGTACTTTTTATCTGTTAGCTTTAAAACACAATATAAATTATTCGTTAAGAGCGAGGTGAAGAATGTTGATGTTACGTAAAAGCTGTTCACTTGATGATCAACGTAACATGTTTCGTCGTTCCATAGCGAGGCTACTAACTTGCTGAGAAAATTTGAGAGAAAATTAAAGATAATAAGCAGAATCGACTGTCATGATTTCAAAATACAATTTGCCATCAAAGAAAAACTGACCGCTGTAACGTCCACGCACCGAGTGAAATGCAATATTTTCTTGAACTTTGTTTCCTGCATGCGACACACTAAGTTATCAAGAAACAAGCAAGCTCTAACGGGTTGATTTAACATGCTCAAACACGAATAAGAGGTACCTACCTACCTATCATCAAAATCATTGAAATAAGATAAAGGTAACTAAAATAAAAACATTATTAGCATATTGAGGCGGTTTTATCATTGGTTCGTCAGAAAAAAATAAGTCTGAGGTTGTATTTTGTGCTTTAAATAGGTCAAAAGTATTCTCAGATCTTCCTCCTCCCCAACTACACACGATCTGCACAAAATCCGCTTAAAATCTAAAGCTGCGTTTTCAAACGTAGTTCTTTCTTTCTTTTATACCTATGCTAACACAAAGGAAATATGTTCCACGTTTCGATGTTTAGAGGTTTACAGAATACAGTGCTGAAAAATCCAGCAGTACTTTGTCCCTTCAAAGAAGATTTTCCGAATTAGATATTGCCTGAATTCCGATTGAGAGAGAAGTAAGTATTGCGTTCAAAAAAATAACTCACTGTGTGTATCGTAACACTGTCGGTAAAGAGCTGAATCTGACAAATTTGACCAACGTCAAGTTATAATTGATGTATCTCACGATCGAACACATTAATAACTTTTTTCTGACCAAAAAATATTATTTCACCCAAAGAGTAAATCGGTTTAGACCCTGGAGTTTTATTGTGTTGGCGAATACTGTCCCAGTCGGGGAATTAAAGAACAAGCTTCGGAAAATTAGAGCAGTTAGTTCCGGTCGATGGGGATTTGCGATATGGAGTAGAAATATATGTTTACACGTCAGAAGAATTGCATAATAGTTAACATGATGTCGATAAAAGCCGCTATTTTATGTTACCTAAGGTTTAAGATCGTAAGTTGTAATTTGAAAATTGACCAAAACGAGTGACAAATTAACTTTTTCGTATCATTTGTCGTTTCTTTCAATATTAACAATTGGAAAAGTTATCTAAAAGAAACAAACTAACGCTATGAATTTTATGTTAATGAAACAGTAAATATAAACAGATGAAGCAAAGAAAAGTATTTCTTAAAAGCTTTTTAAATTTTATTGTTAAGTAATCGGTTCATACAGCCAATATCTCTGGCTATCTAGAACCAAAAATTTTAACTGGATTTTTAGTATCGACAGAAATTTGAACCACATGAAACATGCATTTATCTTTGGTCCGTTTTTGCTGTAACTGTTTATCAAACATATTTTTTCATAATTTCATTACAGAGAATTCTGATTTATTTTCCTGACTGTGTGTAATTGTTATTATATTCTTATCTGCCCTGGGTCTCAGTCAAAGTATGAAGTAAAAAATTTTAATATCGTTTATTTCATTGCGTTTCGGCGAGACAACAGCGCCATCATCAGATTTAAAATTTACACAAACTACAAACACCAATTCACAATTAAAACATGTTGTATAAAAACTATTTTATAAAGCGTTAAAACATTCATCAGTTCTTGAAGGAAAAATTATTTCTTTTAACAAATAAAAAGATGCAAAAGCAGTAAATTTCAGATCAGATACCGACTTTAGCAACATTTACCAAACCCTAATAAAGCCATAAGTAAAGAACACCCAGTACACTAGTAAAAAATTAAAATTATTTCCGCTTATCTCAATACATACATACATACATACCATTCTCGCAAATGTAGAAAATAATTCAAACAAATTTAAGGCTTCAAGAAGACAAAGACCTAAAAGAACGTAATGTTTACCAATTATGAGGTAAATTTTCAAATATTTTGCTCTCCCGAAAGGAAGGATTTTTTTCCTCAAGAACTGATAAATGTTTTAACGCTTTATATATTATAGGTTTTGTAGAACATGTTTTAATTGTGAATTGGTGTTTGTAGTTTGTGCAAATTTTAAATCTGATGATGGCGCGGTTGTCTGCCGAAACGTAATGAAATAAACAATGTTCAAATTTTTACTTCACACTTTGACTGAAACCTAGGAAAGATAAGAATATAATATCAATTACAGAGAATGGAATATGAGCACATGAATATAATTTCAGTTATTTCCTTTTTTTGGTACTTAATATATTACCTAAAATTGTACGGAACGATCTTAGTAGTAACATTTTGTAAATTTGGTATTCGGCTTTAATTAACAATTGATAATGAAATACAGGATTTTGAAACAATAATCAGTAGCGGTAGAAAGTTACCAAATATCTGTAAATGCTTGAAGAAATGGTGATTATTCAAAAAAGTATATTTAAGAGTATTTCTTTAAAACCCAATATGCAAATCAAACGCGTATAGGAATCGACATATGTAAAGTTAAGAAGGCGAGTTTTTAAATTAAAGTAAAAAGCAGTCTACCATCAATGCTATCAAGTTAAATTTAAAAAGTAAGTTTGCACCAAGGTTTTGTTAAAAGAGATCGCGATAGCATTGAACCGCTTTTCAAAGCTTTCAGCGAATTTCACGATGCGTAACGTTTGCTATTTTTGGCAAAATTACTTTTATGTGACTTGATTATCCAAGTAACACTTTTTTAAAGCGAAAACGAAATCAGATATTTTTCATACATGCTAATCATAATAAAAACTTTTCACCCTGTCGTCAAAAAAAGTAATTGTACATTACCTACACTGCCCTGCTAAGACAGGAAGTCGTATCTGCAAAAACGAAGTTTCGAGGTATTAAGCAATTTGTAAATTATGACATGCCATCTTCGCTGATTTGCAAAACTGTTCTTTTTTAAGATCTCAATGTGGACTTCACGTTAATAAACTTACACAAAAAATCTTAGTTGTAAATTTCGGGATTTGATCAAAAAAATTGACTTTTGTTAGTTACGACTTTTTGTTTTAGTATTCTCATACTATTAAGGTATAGACATACTAAGTAATTTTGCAGTATAGTACTCATAGTTTAGCAAATAACATAAAAGCAAACAAGACAAACTTCGTAAGAAAAACATATATTAACTAAAAATAATACTTATTGATCTTACACTAGTCACTTTCAGTATCATTTCCGTCGTTCACTGGCAGATCTTGCCAAACAGATAGTCGATGTGCCGGAACAATGTTTCGTAATTTTTGCAGCAATTTGGCTTTCCTATTCTTGTCAATTCCTTTAGGAGCCAATCTGATCGCAGGGTTTGGTAGGTCATTTTTATAATGTTTGGCCAATAGAAAGTTGAGTTCAATCGATGGTCCACTAAATTTGGTTTTATAAAAAACGTTTTTAGAGCCCCTTTTAAATTGAACCTCAACGAAATTTGCTAAATTAGGTTTAGGTGTAATAATGTTCAATTTGAAATCTTGAACAATAGTCAATAAAATCATTAAGGCTCATTTCAATCATCTCTACCCTTGAACTATTTGATTTTTTGGCACATTTTAAAATCCTCAAAATCGAATACTTTTCCTGTTTGTTTTAAAGACTTTTCCACTTCATGGTGGAAAGAGTCAGCGGACATGAAAGTGAGGCCAGTTTGTCAATATTTTAATTTTAATCAACTTAGATTTACTTGTAACGAGCTAATAATAAAAACAAAAAAGCAATACAAGGCCCAATTCTTGTTTTGTGAAGCGCAGTTATATAGCCAAATTGTTATCTCTTTAACATCACGGTGAAACAACAGGAATTTGTAAAATGTTGATATTAGATCAGATTTACTTCTTCCAGCCACGCCTTCATGCCAAACTAGAGCGACCGGCTTATTTGCAAGGGATTGCTTTCCCAGAGCAACAAAGCTTTCGTTAAAACAAATGATTTCTGTAAACATTTCACAGCGTGATATCATTATTACCTTTAAAAAATATTTTAATTAAATTCACTTTACTATACTAGTGATATAATAACTACCTTTTGCAAGTCTGCAGAAACAAATAATGATTCAGATCCTGCTTTTGTAGATACGTCATTTTTATATTCAGTTCTCGCTTCTATGGCATTTTCATAGTGACGGATCAGTATTTTCTTTATCATGTTTTAAGTTCTTGGAGTGAAGGTTGAATGTTTCGCATTGCCAGCACTCCTCATGACCGAGCACAGTAAATGAGATATTCATCTCAGCTACTTGATGGCGGTAAAGTTCATATGAAACTTTCATTTCGGGGTACTTTTGAAGAAAATCTGCATGCATTAATTTAATATTA